CCGCCACAGCCGGCCACAGTCTGGAGAAGAAGAGGAGGAGGCTGAAGGCTCACCCTCAGAGTCTCGGGATTACAAAAGCTGAGAACTACAAAACTAAATACAAAGGGGAGAATCAGCACGTGAGCGTTGAGCCCTCCGCTCCCCGGCGCCGCTCCCGGCGCTGCCCGCGCCGTGCCGGGGGGTGCGTTTCGCTTCCTCCCTGCGGCGCCAGCCCCGCGCCCGGCGCTCCCGCGCTGCTGCATCGGCCGTTCCCAGGCTGCTCCTCACACCTTGTAGTAAATGTTGGCTGGGCTCTGCGGGGGCATCTCCTGCACGATGTAGACGGGGTGCCCGTAGTCCCCGCTCACCTTCTCGTAGTGCGGGCAGTAGTTGTTCTCTGTAGTCCGTAAGGGGATGATGATGTCGCTGGGCTCCGAGCCCGCGTTCCCGCTGCATTTGGGGCTGGCCAAGGTGCTGAGGGACAAGGCTGCGGCTCGCTGCTGCGTGTGCTTCCGGTGCCGCTTGCGGATCTTGATCAGGAGCACAACGAGGAAGATGATGATGAGGATGAAGATGACGCAGCCGGCGCCGATGGCTGCGAACACGGCCACCTTGGAGCTCAGGAAGCCATCGCTGGGACCTTGCGTCTCCTGACCGTCCTGGTTGACAGAGCCTGCAAGGCAAGGGGAGACGGGGGTCAGTGAGGCAGCCAGGTCTGTGCTCTGTCCATGCATGGATCACACCTGTGGAGCAGGGAGATGAGTTTCCCATTGGAGCCCCTCTCTGCCCCCCAAACTTAGAACGTTCTACCGTGTTCCCAAGGAGGGGAGGCCCTCACCTCCAAGGGGATGGCACTTGCTCTGCACTTTCCCATCCCAGTCAGACCCACATATCCCTAGGAAGGGCAGGCAGGGCAGGCAGGAGCCCCAGGCATCCACAGAAAGGGCACCACACACCCTGTCCCCCATCCAGCACCACTGCTCCCCTTCCCATCTTCCAGCCTATGGAGCAGAGTGTTGATTGTGTCCAGGTGACACCATTCCAGACCTGGGGAGCCTTCACTCCCCACTACAGGGTGGGATGCCCTGGTGAACGTGGGCTCTGACACCCAGATCCCCCCAGTCTCCAATTACTGACCCCTGGGCCGGGGCAGCTGCAGTGCCTGCAGGGGCAGTGCTCAGAGGTCGATCCAGGCAGGAAGAAAAGAGAGACTTTTCCCAGCTTCATCTGATTCCACTTTGCTCTCAGAGGGGTCAGGAACTCAGGAAACCACCTTCAAAGGGCTCTCACACCCGAGGACCTCACCTCCTCCAAGCCCTCTCAGATGTACTGTGAGGAACACATGGGAGGAGGAGGAGGAGGAAGAGTGCTGAAACAGCACTTCCTTGCCAAGCTCTGCCAGAAGCTGGGAAAACAAACTCAAGCTGCTCTGCACCCTGGGCTTGAGACAGCAGCAGGACAGCAGAGACGGGCACGACGCTTATGGCAAACCCATCCAGATCCTGGATCCGGAGAGTCTGGTATCCCTGCAATCCAAGCAACAAGCTCAACTTGGAGGG